CGTGACAGTAGCAAAGACATTGTGGGAAAAATACTTTGTCCATTATGGTCTCCCCACACGTATACATTCGGATCAAGGGAGAGATTTTGAAAGCCGATTGGTAAAAGAGATGCTGACAATGTTGGGTGTAAAGAAATCAAGGACTTCACCATATCACCCCCAAGGCGATCCCCAGCCAGAGAGGTTCAATCGAACCTTGCTAGATATGCTGGGAACGCTAGAACCCAGTCAAAAGTCCAAATGGAGTCAGCATGTCACTCATCTAGTGCATGCTTATAATTGCACTACAAACGAGGCAACTGGATTCTCACCTTATTTCCTTATGTTTGGGAGGGAAGCCAGGTTACCCATTGATGTTTGTTTCAGTGTGTCTGCAGGTGGGGCATCTCCAGTATCACATCTGAGATATGTTAAGAGGATGAAGCAGGAATTGCATGCAGCCTATAAGTTGGCTCAAACTGCTGCGTCTAAAGTGAATCAAGCGAATAAAGAAAGGTATGACAAAAAGGTTCATTGCCATAGCCTGAATAAAGGAGATAGAGTCCTGATTAGGAATCTAGGTTTGAGAGGAAAACAAAAACTTGCTGATCGTTGGAATTCGACACCATACGTGGTGGAAAGTCGAATGACAGACCTTCCAGTTTACCGTTTGAGACCTGCAGGGAACATGGGACCTGTTAGGGTCATACATCGGAACCACATTTTACCCTTGGGACAGGATGTCACATTTCGTCCCGAAAATGATTTGAGGCCTATTCCTTCCCCGAGAGTCCTACGGCGCAGGAGAGCGAAGGAGAGCAGAGTCCTCGAAGCTGAAACACCTGATTCTGTTGCTGGAAAATCTGATAAGGACCGGTGGTGTTCTGACTCCGAGTCGGAGTATGGATGCTACTTGGACGATCTGCCCTTCAATGTTACCCGAGAGACAGGGACCTTGGAGAGACAAACCGATGATATGATTCTCTCAGAGTTGGATGATTTTCCTAACCATAGAGAGATGCGAAGGAGCCAGTTGCGGCCCCCATCATTGGGAGATTTTACTCAGTCTATAGGAGAGGAAACTGAGGTGACTCAGGAAGAGGCTGTTACAAATGCAAGCTGTCCTGCAGAGTGCGTTTCCAGGGAAGAGTCCCAGGGGTCTATTCCACAAGTTCGGAGATCAGAGAGAGAGAGGAGACCTGCTAGAAGGTTCACTTATAATGAACTGGGGGAGCCTACTGTAGACTCTGTGACCGCATCAAAACATTGCGGTGTTTATACAACTGCAGTACACACTCCTTTTTTATCCACGGATGTCAGAATTTCTCACATCGTAAGGCTCTTAGTTAGTTTGCATACACTGCATGTTGGAGTAGGAGTATGCGTTGTCTTCAGGGGAGTCAGCATGGGGGCATGCTGGACATTTGGTGGGGG